AATCGTCAGTACTTTCGACTTGAGTATTTGAGCAACGCCCCTGCAACGCACCTTTGTGCTAATTAATAGAAAACAGATGAATGGGAAACTATTCACGCATGCACAACTGTGACATGTTGAATTAAACCCAATCCGTATTCCTAACACTAAAAAATAGCTATAATTTAACATCTTCATCTGCACGTACGAAACTCCGACCTTAAACCGCTTCATAATAACTCAAGTCGGATTTGAGGATTAAACCCTTTGTAAATAAATTCCTGTGACTGGGCGTAATCCATGATACAACGTTGTTGTTTAATTATCATGTTTAATTTATTAACGATATGATTAGGTAAATCTCTCTGTTATGACATGGCGTGTGCTAAATCATTGCCTGTGTACTTAGCATGTTGTATGTACGGATTAGGTTTTTAGTTCACGGATTACCCACGTACCAAGCCATATTTCATGCTCTATTGTAGTTGTTAACATGATAGCCGTAAGTTTGCTTGTTCGCATTTATCAGTTTTACAAAGAAACAGCTCATTCAGGGGAAGCAAAAGGGGCAGTGCGAGAGGCAGATGGGACAGGACACTTTTGGAAGTTGTCCTGTGATTGTTCCTCGATTCATTGCACTTTTTCTGGCCATATTGGGAAAGTTGCAACATTTTCATTTTGAAGAATTTCACAATTAACAGAACACAATCTATTAGAGAGAAGCTTTTTTGAGTTTATAATTTTCCGCGATAATGGTTTAAGAAATGTCACTGACATCATGCAGTTGTTATTTTTGTTTCTGTGTTGCGTTTGACAGTTGAAAATCTCCAAAATCATGTCATCATCAGGAGTATCCTCACTGACACTGGCCATGTACACATTGTAGCCAAGCACAGTACCATAGTTCTATGCGTGAATGCTGATCTATGCGTGAATGCTGTTCTGTGCCCCTCTCCACGTCTGCTATGCGTGGCTATATGAGCTATGAGCCATATAAGCTTGGCTTCCTACGCTACGGTCCAAACATGGTTAATGATTGACGTTTTAAAGTACAGAGATATACATTAAAGTTATCTCTAATGTATATGTGATTTTTATATTGGCTTCAAAAACACTTCATAGATTGTCATTAAAGTAGCTATTTTGTAATTCTTTCTGGTGATTTCAATATGTCTACCAGAATTTCTTGAAAGCACAACCATGCCAGAGAAGTATTTTCATATTTTACTTCCCAGGCCAATCGGCATAAAATCCTTATTAGTTTTCGTCCGTTTGTTAGTCTGTCTGAGAACCCGTGATCCAATAATTTTGAAAGCATCGTTAAGATGTACATGTTTTTAATAAGTAATAATATAATATTCCTTGCCCTTTCTAAAACTCTGAATGTACAAATACGATTTATGATGACTACTAGGCGAAAACGTTATTTGGTTTAGAGATTCGCTTCAACGGCGGAGCGCTGTGGTGCTCAAACTTTGTGATTTGATGTTTTTCGATTTTATAACAATTTTTGAATATAGTCAAAGCATTTTTTGGTGTTGTCGACTCAAAAAATATCCGAACTCTATTTTATGATGCTTTTGGAGGCTTGAACAGAGGTGGCGCGAAAATTTTGTCAAGGGAGAGCTTAGTCATGTTGATTCCCGTTGTCTTATAGTTCTGAGTATTATAAGTGAAAGTTCGGTACTTATGTGTTTCAAATACTAATGATGGGAGAACATAGTCAAAGTCCTTTTACTGACTAAGAAATAGAGAGATAAGACTTATTTGGCGCCATTATTGCTGAATGTTAATTTGGAAACACAATAATATTACATGAGAATAGTCTGAACACAGCAATCGAGTAGTAGCCATTTCGGGTCAAATACGTAAACAAAGGGAAGTTGCTATCACGCTGAGGGACGTCTATTGCGAACCAATATTGACTTTGACTTACAATTAGCGGCCCTGTACGTGTGTATCAACACCAATTTTGGCTGACTGGGAATTAGCGTTAAGTTCTGTTTTCCTACCACTGGCAGCAGGTTGAATTTTGCATTTAGAACATCTGTGGTATTTCGACAATTTTGTTTTACAGCCCTTGCAGGGTCGGTTAAAACAAGTTGTCAAAAATTTCAATAATTCTTCAGGCAGTTTTTGAAATATTCACCTCATCATGTTAAAAAAACGTGGGGGTTCTAAAAACGTTTGAAACCCTAAAAACACCTTAAAGAATGTTGTTTCATGCTTGTTATCAATCATCAGTACCAGATAGGTCTAGTCATTTGGAGACAGATGCCGCAAGGTAAAGAAGTGAAAATGGATCTGCTGTATTGTAGTGCGCGAAAATCAAGGTGACACTGCCACCTATGGGAAAACATGGGACTTTTGCTAGTACATGTATTTTATCCAAGACTTTCATTTACTCTATATGAAACGAAATAGCTATTCGAACGTTGTTACACGTCAAAATATACCTAAAATACTTCACTGAAACATCTCTCAAATTATAGCCCCATATCGTACCGTATACATTGGATCTTGTTGAAACTTGCTATTCATGTTGAGTTACTGGTAATTATTTCATACAACCTTTTAGTATGAAGTGGGTCCAAGACGACCCTCTGGAGTCATAAGGTTTTCAAGAAAGTGCCAATAAATTTTTATTTTATATTCCGCCATAATATACGAAAGGAGGCTATTCTATTTTATGCCGAGAGTGCCATTATCCCTAATATCTATTATAATGTTTTTAAGTTCTCTTCATAATATTCTATAAAAGATACTTTTTATCAAGGCTCAAAATTAAATTTCGCCCAGCGAGGACTATATTCAAGTTTATGAGTCTTTTCCAAGGCATTCGCTGCTATCTCCAAACTACGTTTCGCATTATATTAACTTTCTAATATTAACCAGCTATCCAGATGCTCTTCCATAAAGCAGTTTCAGAGACTTAATCGTTAATTCCAACTCCATAAGCCGTGAACTATGAACATCGTAAAGCTGGGATCACGACATTTTAAACGTCCGTCTGAGTTCTACTTATTCCTTTTTTGTTCAATAAATAGTGCAGTTGATTCATAACATAAAATCTGCAAAAACTGAAATAACGTAATTAAACAAATTTAAGAATCTTCAAACATTCTCGGCTTACTCAACAGATTTTTCGATTATTTCTAAAAATAATCAGTTCGATGAAATGTTTTGAGACATTCTAAATATTGATACCTTACGAAATGAATCTTTGTTTCGTTACCACGTATTTTGACCGATCATGCCGTAATATTGGAAAAATGGATTCTAAAAAACAGTTTTTGAGTAGTATCTTTATCAGACTCTGTAATAAAACTAATAACATCGAGAATTAAATTTATGTATTAACCTTTTTTAATTTCATACTAGTACGAATATAAGAGAAGGCGCTTACTTCCAAAACAATCCCATGTGAAAGCATTGAATTTGTACTCTTGTCAAACTAAACTTTGAGAAGCTATTATTCAAATATATAAAACTCAATGAGTACATTATAGAGAATATTGTACAGTTTTTTGTTGTTCTAGCTATTTTCACCATAAAAAGACTCCGAAGGTATTTGAGCTGCATTTTACTTTTGACGCCACTGGGCGTATTGCAATCGTTAAAAATTTCGAAAATCATATATCATGGTTTTTGATGTCATATGACATGTACATCACGAAAAAACATGTCACTTATTTTCGTATGTCTGTCTTCTAATCTTTGGAGAGCCTATCATATGGAAAGTACTAATTGGATTAGGATGAAATGCTCTCACAAAGTTACTACTATGACAAAGACGAAAAAGGTGAAGATTTTGAAAATCGGTCCGGCAGAGCTAGGAGTAAAAACACGAGCAAAATATATCGCTCAAACTTCATTTTTTGGTGCTCCAGAAGCTCCTTATCCAGGAATATTTATGCAGGAGTTAAAAATTTGATGTTAGGTGCTGTAGGGGGAAGCAATTTATACATTTCAAATCCAGGTAATTCTAGGCATCTATTAGACATATTTCATAAATCAAAGATTTCCCCGTTCATTTGCCCTTAAAAGTTGAATTATAATAATATATCTTCGATGTACTCACGACGGACAACTCAACGAGCGCGCGCTCCTCTGCTTCGGATTGATATGATTTAACCCCGTGCTGGATTGCGACGTTGCTGGAAGGTCGGGCATTACGCTATATCGCATTGTTGGTCTTTGTACAGATTGTATGATCCGTTTAATTCATTTGTTATACATGAACGCAGCTAATGTTTGAGAGCGACTAACTTGTGCCGAATATAATCCCTTATGAATTGGTAACCGCGTTTTTTTTTATACTCCAACTACCACGAAGGCGTAAGGCCTAAACACCCATTGGGTACCGTGGGGCTATGGGGGATACAGGGGAAAGGTGTGGCGAGGGAACACGTGTGTATGCAACATGCACACACACATTCTGGCTCCGCCAACGAGATCCGCCGGGTGGAACCTCCGCGTTCGACAGTCAGAGACCGTCTACCACCTACGGACAATCACAACATCCATAGCCAAGAGAAAAAATTCTCCTGGGACGGGATTCGAACCGTTGCCGCGTTGCGTTGGGATGCCATTTTTTCCTATATGGTGGCATCGGCAAGATTAAAAAAGAGCAGATTAAAATCTATAAAGAAACGACATCCCTTACATTTTCCAATAAATCCACTTTCTCGACACAACTAAAATAAATCATTGGAATCAAGAATCTAAAAACATAAGCTTTGCTATCCATCATACATTTCGAGGTACAAATCGATCAAAACTTTGAGGAATGCCAAAAAATAATGCCTTTTTTGCCAACGTGTCTAGTATGACTGCACTGATAGCCTCCTGGCTATACCACATTCACAAAAATCAATTTGAGAGGCACGAGACGAGGTAGTAAAATTTATGCGGAACAACTTTACGGACTTGGCTGTTTGTTGAAACCTATAAAAGTGTGGCTGCATTACAAAATATCGGATATCAGCAGAAGTGAGTTCGTGCCAGAAGGCAAGAGGCTGGCATGTGTCATAGGGACAACCTGTCGTGACATGCTCGTATATCTCTCAACCGTTGTAAACTCAGATGGATGCTGATGCAGTCAATTTTTTGCATTGGGAACAGGACATGGATGCTGACGGTAGAAGGTAGAGTTTTATGACTATATGTTGGAAATCTTGGATAGCAGATTTAAAACTTGATCGTTCAGCAAAGTGTGTGGAATTCTTAACTGGAATCGCCACATCGACTTAGACCTAAGTCAGGCTAAATAAATTATAGTTGCTTTCTGTCTCTGTTAGCACAACCAACCGTACACAATGTCCTTTTTAGAAATCATCAGTATGTGCCTAGTCATCGGAGAGAGACAACGGAAAGCAACCAAGCGAAAATAGGTCCACTGAAAAAACTAGCATAGAGGTGTGCAACGAGGTGACGTGACCATCGCCAAACGCTATCGACGAAAATTCGGCAAAATGAACGATCTAGGTGGATAAATTCATTTCAAAATTAAAAAGTGTTTTGCCTCGGAAGTTGTTACTTATTACTTTTGAAAGTAATATCTATGGACTTTGACGCCTCAGAACCGTGCTCAACGGATAAGCAAAACAGCGAACTTTTATGTATCGGACATAGTATTAGCGGGCGATATAGATGCATCTGACTGTCTTGTCATCAGATCTTACTTACAATTTTTGCGATTCTTGAATTATGGTGAACAAACTATTGCAGAATCGGTAATTTAACAGATTCACTGGCAGGTCGTAATAAAAAAATTGAGTTGTCGTTGGGACGAGTGCTAACGAAAGCGAGATACTTTCGTTGAGTAATGTTCCTGATTAGACCGGCCAGACTTCGAATTCCTCATTGCGCAAACCAATATAGTGCTTCAAATCTTCTGAATATCCTGGTCGATCAGGGAAAAGATTTTTCGAGTCTAGTCGGAAAACCAAGTGTAGAAAAATTCTTGATACCTACTACATTTTACATTGTATTTTATTAATTTGTATTTTCTCTTGTTATTTTCATTACCTTTACCTTCATTTTTATCCATCCTGTTCATTATATCAAATATGTAGATTTAAAATTGTAAATATACTCAGTGACATCCTTTAGGCAACATAATGATTATATTTAAAGCATGCTGTGGCAACAGTGTCAACGTTTTACCTGTTGTTTCTGTTTACCTTTGTTAATATGTTATCGTTTAGTTTTTGTCAAGAAAGCAGTTTCTGAGAGCTGAGTAGTACAGATATTTTTAGTTATCGCCCTTTCATTTGCTAGCATAACAAAATGCCTCGAGTTCGAAGACGTCCAAATCTCCACCTTGTTAGCGACCCTCACAGGGGTAGAAGTATTGCCTATCGAGATGTAGGTTTGCACTATCGCGAAATTGGCCGCCGTGTTAATTGCACTGCAATGACGATGTTGCGCATGTGTCGTGTGTGGATAGGAGAAGGTAGAGCAAAACAAAGAAGGCCAACTGGTTCACCGAGGCGTACCACAGAGCGTCAAGATAGGCGCTTCAGACAACTAGCCCTACTAGACCGTTTTTCTACTGCGCGTCAGATCGCTGACCAATGGTTTCAAGAAGATGGAAGACCTGTTACTATGCGTACACTCTATCGCCGCATTCGAGCCTTTGGACTTTTTTCATATCGTCCACGGTTAGTGCTTCCTCTGACTATGGACCACTGTCGTCAACGTTTGAACTGGAGCAGAGAACGGCAACATTGGGAGGCAGAATGGCATGATGTCATCTTCAGCGACGAATCGCGATTTTGTCTAGGTACGCACGATGGTCGTAGAACCGTAAGAACGGCGTGATATTAGATTTGCTGTTGAGAGGTATGTACACAGGACTGTTGGAGTAATGGTTTTGAGCGATATTGCCGACCACCTCCTTTCTTTGTTCAAGTCAATATGACTGCTGCGAGTTATGTTGATGATGTCCTACAAATAACTTTACTGCCTTATCTAGAGGGCCGTCCACACATTCTCTTTCATCAAGACAGCGCACGTCCTCCCATATTGCTCGTCGTACTACGGACTTAATTCAAGAAGCAAGCGTTAATGTTTTGCCGTTCATCGGATTAAAATCCCATCGAACATGTGTGGGATATGATGGGGAGGAGAGTATCCACTTCGCACCATCCGTCACAGACTCGGCCACAGCTAATCCAAGAAGTTAGAGTTGCTTGTAATGAGGTACCACAAGCATTTTGTCGATGCCTAGACGGATACAAGAGTGTATTCAGCTGCAGGGTCGCCCAACACATTATTAATTTTTTTCTGAGCACTTGTTAATGAAATTTCGTGAGGATGCCATCGTTTCATTCTTGATGTAAGACTACCTCATTGCCAAAAAATTAAGTTGAAGAAATTATTTTTTCTGGGTGTAACACTTCTAATGTCACCGAGTATAGTAATATAAAATAATCGTGTAAATACGCAAATATTATTAACCACTGGTTGACTGGTTGCTTAATACCGATCCATCATAAATGGGTTTTTGGAGTCGTCTAGAAGTCCTAATTTCCGTCATTCTGAAAATCAGTTAGGGACATTTAACAAAATTCATATAAGGACGTTTTTTGAAGGATTAACAACAAGATATTTCTGGAAACTCTTTGTATGATATATTCGTAATCAGTATTAAATTTCCTGTAAGGTAGGCTAAAATAATAATTTTAACGTAGGGATCTGTAGGTACTACCGCGTTATGGTCACAGAGATGGGCAGCAAACAGATTCTATTCAGCCTGTCTTGAGTTTATGCCACTTTTGCATAGTCCGTCAAAGCATAGTGAATTAGTGAATTAGTACTACTCTGAGTTATGAGATGCCTATGTGGTGGACGACACTTGTCCGTTCCATTGATGTTCACTATCAATCCGATATGCTAGGAAAATGCACTTTCGTGTTACCGACGTAGGAATCGTTAGAAACGCATTTGGCGGACTTCTGATAGGTGCAAGTGTCACCTCTTCGTTAGATCTAAGTGATAAACATTCTTCCGCACGGAAAGATACGTTAACGAGTAAGTTCGCACCCTATTTGAGGAGCTATATGGATGCATGTATGACTATGCAAGGTACATTTACACATACATACGTACAAACATTTTGCTCTTTTGGTTCTCGGCCTAAATAAAACTGCTATATTTTTAGACATACAAGGTTCTACAGGTAATATAACGTATTAATACCACGGTTCGATGTTTTTTAATGTATATAAATTTGATTTTGTGAAACTGATTTATATGATGAAAATACACACATAATAATTTTCGATGAAACTAACAACAATTTTGTGAGTGCGCTTTCTCCATGTTTCTGGTGGTCTTATACAATTAAACTGGATGAAAACAAAAAATATTTCCAAATAGCATTATCTTGCATTCATTCATAAACTAATACTACTTATGCAAAGCCTGTGTACTTAAGAGAAAAGCTGATATTTAGGCATAATATACAACATAAGCATATTAGATTTCCATTTATTCTACAACTTTATTTCAGCATGTACAGTGCTGTAGTTTCATGCAACACCTTGAGTCTAGAATTTAAAATGCCCTTAAATTGCTTCAAGAAAGCTGTTTAATCTAAAATCAGATAGATCCGTAGTTTTAATATGCTGCTCTTGTATTCGCTGTTAACAATTTTCTTTTCTTTTTGTGTATATAGGTGTATACATATAGTACACTCTTGTGAAGCATATATTTTTGGCTGGTTAAGTTTAAGAGTAGCAAGTAGCTAAACTTCGCCACCTTTTGCAACTCTTTTTGTCCGTATTTAATTGTACAGTTTCAATAAAGACGATTATTATTATTATTACTATTATTATGAATAATAATAATTACAGCCTAATTCATAATAAACAGAAATGTGCACGTAAAAATTCGACAGTTTTACCGTCGGCGAGAACCGCGGAAACTGAAAGTTAAAACAAACAAGGTTTGTGGTTTTCTAATATAATCATCGTCATTCTAATGACAAATAACAGTTGAAATACAACAGAAATTCAGGAACAAAGGGTGCATTTTGTTCCGAACGACAAAACTTTAACTAAGCTCGGATAGGGATAACAGTATAACATGAAACGCACACTCCATTGTTCGTATATCCATCAGCGATATTATTCGTCCACAGCTACTATTATGAAAAATGTCAATGTTGTTAGGGACATCGATTGAATGGCAAAGGGAAATTATATTCAATTTTTCCGTAGTCCGTTTTAAAATGCAAATGTGTCGTTCGTTATAAAGCTCCCAGTTGTGTTGCATATACGGACTGAATAATATATTTCGAAACGCTCTTGTGTATTAGCTTTAATGGGCTCTGATAGCTGGATGAAAAGTGGATTAATGTTTTAGTTACACCGAAATGTTTTCGGTAATGAAGCTTGTGAGTAGCAGTAAAAATGGCCAAAATGGTTATACAGGGCTTTTCAAAATATTCCTTCCTACTTATTTTTTGAACGGAAGATAGCTTAAATTCTGGGAGATGGAATTGATGCATGAATACTATATTTTAGCGTAAAAGCGGCAGTTGAACATTTCAAAATGGCAGTTAGGCGCGAGTTTGTAAAATGTTCTCAAATGGAATGGAGTATTACGTGGCACCTCATTTTGAAGCTCCTTGTAAATTCTTAGATAAGTAATCTTAGAATACATTTACTTCAAAACGGCGGACTAGCAGACTCTTCAGACGAACATCTTTGAACATTCATATGCTTTAGTTTAGACTTAGTTTAGTAGCTGCAATGAACATTTTTTCTAATCTCAAATTGCTTATTTGGTCAATTAGCATCGTCAGTCGTATCTATATACAGGTTCCCAGTAAACATGTTCTAAGATGGCGCCCAGCCATATTGACTTGTTCTAAAAGTAATTGAAGGAGACTTTTTTGGAAAGCACAGTATTTAAGCTGGGTCACTGTCACAAATGTGCTAGTAAAGCTAACTTTCAAGTTGACAAACTCTTAACTGGCAGTTATCCGTAAATTCGTTTGTTCGAAGTGCCTGGTAACTGACTCATACTTCCTGGTGAGACAACTTTTTCACTGGTATCACGTACAGTGTGTTTTGTTAGGCTTGTAGTTTGTGTTTAGTTTATCCGTTGTGATTTGACTAAACATATTTAACTAATGTATAGACGATCCTCTTGTCAAAGTTAGTTGATCTCCATTGGAGAACAAACCCGACACTTGGAGTCAACTTCCATCATACATATTAACATGTGCTTGAAAAATCGGGTCTTGAAGTATATTTTAGGTTCTACAGAGAACTTCTCAAGCAGTGAAAACTCGCAATATGGCCGATGCTATAGAAATGAATGGTGCAGTTGAGGAAGCTGGAGCTGCAGAGAGGTACAATTTCAGATACTGTGATGATGAAGGTAACTATAGGAGATCCACAGGAGCCAGTATTGTCAAATAATAAT